TGAACCAAGTGCTGTGGGGTCGTCGGCTCCTTGACATCTCGGATCCAAATGGGGGTCTCCAGAACGGGTGAGGTAGAACACAGCGAGATAGCATCTGTATGTGGTTTTGATGATAACAACTTTCTAGCTTATTTGCAAACCAAATTCTTTCCATCCAGAACTCCAATTTCTGAGATAGAGACTCTGAATACATTATATTCGCACATAAGTTCCAGACACCATCCTTTAGTTCCATCCACTCACAGTATAATTGTTTAACCAATTTATTAAGTCTTGTTTGTAAAATAAATTCTTAAATTTTTATAAACCTGACTGTTTCTTGAATCAAACGAAGAGTGTATGATCCCTTAATGAATAAAAGAATCCTAGAATCTTCTGACTAAAACAAATAAAGACCAGGCAAGGTGATATTCTATATTTAAATAGAGTATTAAAGCTTATTGGTCTCATGTAGTGTTAATAATATAAATAGCTCTTAAAACAATTTACTTAACCCAAAATACTAATTATCTAACATTACAAGGGAAAGGATTCTTTGGTCATCCACCACAGTTGTTTTCCGTGGTCTTCCGGGTTTTTGGTGTTGCTGAGTGCGTTCCTTCTTTTTGAGAATGTTCCAAACTGTTGTTTAGGCCACGCCTAATGTTTGTGCTATCTCTCTGAAAGGTTTCTTTTGTTTTTTCAGCCTAATGATGGCTTGCTTCACTGATAGTGACAGCTCTTTGGATCTCATCTTGACAGTTGACAGCAACAGATTCCAAATGCAAATAGCACACTTGAAATGAACTCTGGACCTTTTATCTGCTCAGTGTAATTGGGATAATGAGGGAATAACACACACCTGGCCATGGAACAGCTGAGAAGCCAATTGTCCCATTATTTTTGGTCCCTTAACAAGTGGGAGGCACATATGCAAACTGTTGTAATTCCTACACCGTTCACCTGATTTGGATGTAATTACCCTCAAATAAAAGCTTAAGAGTTTGCAGTTAAAGCACATCTTGTTCATTTCATTTGATATCCATTGTGGTGGTGTATAGAGCCAAAAATGTTAGCATTGTGTCAATGTCCCAATATTTATGGACCTGACTGTATGTTTGCACAAAGAGAAGCTGTAAGCAGCACAGTGTTCACCAGCCTATAAATTCCTCTCAGTGAGTAGAACACAAACACTGCCAACCATTCAACTGGGATAACGATCATTTTTGTCTAATTATATGTATATTAAACCAAGCTTAAGTATCACAAAGTAGCTGAAGATGTTGCCTTAAACTGCTAATAGACATACTTTTAGCAGAATGTTTCATCTCCTTTTTGCTGAACCCAGACATGATGACTGCTGAGTATTTCCAGTTGTGAGTGCGTATCGTGCAGAGAATACCCTGCTGTGCAGTACATGTGTGAATGTGAAACTGTGGACAAGTCGGGACACAGGACAGCTACAGATGGGTCACAGTGAGCAACATGAAGCATCATTAAAAAGTAAAATAAGAGACGGTCATGGCTGAGATTATGACAAGACTAACAAAACAACTGGTTTGTCTTGTCAGCAAAAGCTGTCCGTCCAGTTGTTTTAAGAATGCTGTCATAACTGTAGCGTGATGAATTGTCCACTTCTGACCTAAAAGGCCCTGCTCTGCTTTGCTCTGCTCAAAGCAAAACCAGACGTTTCTGACAAGAACTAATCTGCATGAGATATTGCTCAAGGTCTCATGCTCTGCTTCTAAACTGTTTCTTATTTTCCAGCTCAAGAGAAGAAGAAGACGAACACTTTCTTTTCAATAAATCAGAAGAACTCTATTTTTAATAAGCTAATCAAACAAAGTGTTGGTCCAATAATAAAATGTGAACCAATCTGTGAAATGACAATGTTTATGTTAAGTAGTATTTTAATAAGTAATACAACTTTAAACTAGCTGCACTAGACATTATCATCCACGTAATGCTTAAAGTCACATGACACATTTTCTTTTTCTGATCCAATCAATCAATCAATCAATCAATCAAATTTTATTTCTAAAGCGCTTTTCAAACAAAGTGTTATTCAAAGTGCTTTACAAAATGACCCGATTCCCATAACAGGTTAAAAACATTAACAAACATATGCAATCACACGCACACACACACACACACACACACACACGAGTCAAAATTATATTAGGCTGAGTCCAGATGAGCCAAGTATGGTAACGCAAGGAAACGCCATCAGAGGAGCCGTCTGTCCCGGCAGCATCAGGTCTTCCACACTAAGTCAGGGCGCTCAGTGGAGGGGGAGCATAGACCCCCACCTATAGAGCGCCCAGGAAGCTACAGTCGACCACCGCTCCCGGGGCAGAGGGCCCCCACAGAGGAAAACACTGGATTAAAATGAGTAAAAATGTAATAAAAGAGCTAATATAAATGACAACAATTAAAAAATAAGTAATAAATAAAATCATAGACAGTAAAATAATAATTTAAATAATAAAACTGTGCTAAAATATAGTCATATAGAACATGCAAAGCAAGTAATAAAATATAATCATGTAAAACGAGAAATAAAACTGTAGTAAATATTTAGATAAAAGCTAACCTAAAAAGATGGGTCTTGAGTCTTGACTTAAAAACATGAACGTTCTCTGCGGCCCTGAGGTCCTCTGGCAGCTCGTTCCAGAGGCGAGGGCCATAACACTGGAAGGACGCCTCGCCGTGAGTTTGTGTCCTGACTTTAGGGATGACCAGGAGACGCCTGCCAGAGGAGCGCAGAGTCCGCGAGGGTTCATATTGTAAAAGCAGTTCTGATAGATAAGAAGGCCCAAGACCGTTAAGACACTTAAAAACCATTAGAAGAACCTTAAAATTGATCCTGAAACATACGGGGAGCCAATGCAATGATTCTAAAACTGGCGAGGCGTGGTTTTGTTGGTGCTTGGTAAACCCCTCTGGTTGTCCTTTTTTTGATTCAACCGTAAATCAAAACATCCAAATTATAAAACTATGCCCACGTCATCTTAACTTCAGTTCATAGCATTCTGGAGAAGTCGTCACAGTGGCCAATCCGTAACTTTCCTCTTAAAGCCGAAAGAACCTAACGACAAGCTGGATTAAATCTGTTGCATGTTCCACCCGCTGCAACGGTTCCTTTCAGAATAAAAGCTGAACCATCACGACCCCTTGCAGGGTCTTGCTAGATGCCAATAAAACTGTCGTGACCTGGAAGTATCTCAAGACTGATCTGGTCGGCAACCGCTGCTTATCTACAGGCTTCGGTTCCAGAGGAGGTCAAGCTGGACCTCGACATTCCTGATCTAACGGGGACTTCCGCCAAGGGTACGTAGACCGACAGAATGGCGTCTCAATGTGTGTTATAAATCTCCAAACCAAAGCTTAGAGTGAAACATCATCTTCACTCCCATCAGAACTAATCGTTTCTCCGGATTTGCTGGTTCTGAACATACTTCACACATACACCATCCTCAGTCTTACTTCACCTTAATTACAGCATACACCTAGTGTGTAAAGTTAGTCTTGTTTAGGGCTGAAATGATTCCTCGAGTATCTCGAATAATTCGAGTACAAAAAAATCCTCGAGTCAAATTCTCTGCCTCGAGGCTTCGTTTAATTCATGTTTAATTAATTCATGGCTTTGCAATCACCCGGGGTCATGTTTCACCCGGACCGAAATAAATGACGCACATACATACTGCACTGAATGCACACGCGAGTAGCGAATGTAACTTAACTTTCGAAAAAAAAAACTTAACTTTCTCTTAAGCCATGGCGGACAACGTGGACCCCGGTGGAGTGCGAAAAAGACAGAAAATGTCAAAGGTGTGGGACCATTTTTCACGCCGTAAGGCGGAAAACGTAGTCCAGTGTAAATACTGTAAAATGGATTTAGCCTACCACAACACCACATCCTCCATGCCTGACCAGGAAACATCCACATGTAAATGTCTCTTCTGCAAGTGGACTCGGAGCCTCTACAAGATAATGTACTTTAGCCTGTATTTCTATATATTCTGCGGACACTGCGACTTTTTCGTTTGTAGCACTCAGTTTCAGCTCACACCATACGTCTGGTAGCAACACGTCGGACTTAAAATGTGCTAAAAATAGCAGTTTTTACAACACGTGGGACTTTTTACTGTGTTGTTTGTTGATGTCCGTTGTCCCTCTGGATTGCTGCAGGAGGACACAGTTATTTATGAGAGTGACGGAGGAAAACGAAAGAAAGTAAATAAATGTTGTGTGGTCAGTATAACTTGACATAACCACGGCAAACATGCTTTCTCGACAATCCTTGTTAGTGTGAGGCAAAAAAAGTGTAGAAATTAAAACGGACGTGTGTTAATAGGGAAATAGCTGGTGAGCCATGTTTGCGCATACGCCGTGAGCGGTTCTGGTGTTGTTTGGGCCGCAGCCGCTCGCATTTGTTTACTGTGAAGTAAAGTTGAAGTGCTGAAGTTTTGAAAACTAATTTTGAATAAAACTTGAAGAATAACTGGCAATTGCTCATTTTAAGAGGCCTTTCATATTTTATAACATGCTGTTTGATATAATGGTTTACAAACGCAAAAGGGTAATTTATTAGAGTACTCGATTAATTGATAGAATATTCGATAGAGTACTCGATTACAAAAATATTCGATAGCTGCAGCCCTAGTCTTGTTTAATTTGTTTAGCAATAAATCTTTAAACTTTTAAACCTGACTAACTCCCTTTCCTTGAAGTTAATACGAAGTGTTGCTCAATCCCTGCAATAAAAAGATCAGATTTTCTGGTTAAATTTACTCAAAGATCCATTAAGGTGACATTTCATATCTGGTGATATTTCACATTTTATGGTTTCTAATTAAATGTAAGAACATCTTCTCTACATAACTGATCTGGGCTCAGAATAGTCAGGCCAACATTTTTAGGTTTCATGGCTGTTTTTCCCTCCAAAATGTAGTAGAGCCGTATTTTAACAGTTTATCACTTCACCACGAGAGAACTTCCTGTTGGTACTTTCTGCTCACCTAAGCTGCCAGATGCATCGTTTGCAGATGGATCCACTTTTATGTCACATAGCTCCACTGGCAGAGGGCTGCTCATGTCGGTCAGCGATGGGCCGTTGTGTGAGGGGACGGGGAAGTCATTTGGCTGGGGGAGGGGGGTCAGTGACAGCTGGCCATCGGGCTTGATTGTAGCACTTCCATTGCTCTCCTCAACCATGCAGTCCAGCTGCAGCTCAGAGGCCCCGTGGAACACCTTACTTTCATCTGAACGAGGAGAAACAAACGTGTTCAGAACAAAGAACTATTGTTCAACCGTGCTTCCACTCACCCTTGTCTGTTTTAACAGGTGGCCAGGGTAAATACTTCACAAATGGACAGAATATCATACAAAATAAAAGAATAGAGAGCAGCTTTGAATTTCTAAAAGAACTCTTTCTTTAGGGACTTCTTATCAACGTTTCATTTATGGATGTTTATGTAACACCCATTCAAAGATTTTACTGTTAGAAATGTTGAGGTGCGTTTCTGTGTGAAGGTTATAAATTATAATGATTAACATCCTCTTTACATGTTGTAGATGAAACATAGCTTGTCTGAATGGACCCAACTCCAAGAGAAGTTGCTATCTCCTAAAAATCAGAAGCTCAAACGAACACTTTTATAAACCTTTAGATTGGCATCAAACAGGGATGCACCGATACTGATACTGGTATCGGTGCCGATACCAATACCAGTATTGGTATCGGTAAAAGTTAACCGATACCAGGAACCGATACCAATGCAGTTGCTTGAAAATGGCTTCACTGTAACTTGTCATTTCTGTTCACCTAATATTTTAGTCTTGTGGTGATTTCCATTCATATATTTTACTTTTTATCTACCTCACAGTCTTTTCCTGTTGAAAGAAGAGAAGAAAATGAAATCTGTATTCCAAATCTTTGCATTTTTTTGTGTGGTGGAAGTATCGGTATCGGTAATCGGCGTCGGCGAGTACTCAGATCCAAGCATCGGTATCGCACCGGTTTGGAAAAAAGAGGTATCGGTGCATCCCTAGTATCAAAGTCACGTTACACGTTTACTTTAGCACAAATCTGACATTCCTGAGAGGCTTGACCCCAGGATACACCAGAAACGTTACAAAAACTACTTTAAAAATCCAAATATATATTGTAAAAATGCACAAATGGGTTTTGGAAGAATATATCCTGTCAGTCTGATCTCTCAATATGAAAAATTCTTCTCTTACCATGACCAACATCTGGGATATCAGTCACAGACAACGTGGACATCTTCTGCACAGCAGCTTGTCATTACGAAATCAACGTGTACCTGTGGAATCAAATAATCTCATGAGACTTCATGGTAGCAGCATGTTTGTTTAACCTGAAAAGAAAAAAAATTGTTGTGATAAAAGTGATCAAATATAGCAGAACTGGACCTCCACTGGACAGATGATTGGATCTTCAAGGTTAAGCAGGTGTTTCTGGAGTCTGAATGTGATTAACAGCTGGAGTTTTATTAGATAGTAAATGTTTTTTTTTTCTGTTAGCTTTTAAGAGGACAGTAGATTTCCAGAGAAGTGATGATATATGCAGACAACGAGCCTCGAACAGGTTCTGACTGAAAACAAAGATGTGACCCGCATCAATGATGGAGCTTTAATTGGGCTCATATGCAGCTTTTTGTTGTTCTTAGAAAGTTCTGAGACCATAAGTAGAGTTGGAGTGAATTTCAGATCCAGCTTGTATAAAAATCTGTAAACCAAAACCAACTGGATGTAAAAGCAGAAACGAAAGTCTGTCATGCGCCACAAGGAGACACATTTCAGGAAACTGATTCAGCAGACGCACAGGCATCATCTTCAGCCAAAGTTAACCAGCCAGTAGAGAATAAAGTTCACTTTGGAATAAAAATGCTGAATTATCTAGTTCTATTATAGAAACAATTAACAAAATTTTGAATAATTCATGATTCTGTTTATTAGCTTCATTTATAGAAATAAAAGTCCTCTGGAATCTGTTGTTTTAATGAATAATTAAATATGGATTACGAATGCACAATATATCAGCATCAATATCGGTATTGGCTGATGTTAGTCATTTTTTAACATATCGGTATCTGTCCGATAACTAAAACTGGGCCGATATTAACAACCGATACTTTTCCCCCTTGTTTCCATTTGTTTATCTGCATTGTTTCCCTTACATAGGCATAGCCGTGGCGGCCCGCACGGCTGCAAGATCCCGTTTTATAGATTTTTTTTTTGCGCTGTTTCCCGAAGAAGCTGCGGGAACTACTCTGTTGTTGCTTGTGATCACAGCCGGCAGGCAGCAAGGAGGAGGAGGCAGGGCAGGGTGGTTACAGCTAGGGATGAGCCGCAGATAAAGCATTTTTGACAAATACGAGCATGAAACAAGTAAAACTCGTGAATATCTGTAATTGTGCTGAAGAAAAATCCTCATCGGGGAACTGACTGCCTTCACGCCCTGTGATTGGCCAGTCACATGGAGCGCATGCCCCTCCCTACACACAAAACTCTGCTCCGGCCCACGCACACACACAGACTGTAACAGATCTCTCTGTGCTTGCTTCACTGTTGCTCACGTTTCTTCAGTGCTCCCTAGGTTTTCTTCAGCTCGCCTCTTTTTCGCTTGAATATTTAAAGTTACTTTTTTCGTAACGTACGTGCATTTGACAAGACAGAGCTGAAAACAGCTCGTGCATGCGTCGGTCACTGCCTCCGCTCCGGTCGGGTTTTTAAAATTATTTTAACTCCCCCCCCCCCTCTCTCACACACACAACACACATCAACATTGTTTTGTTTAACTGTGTGTGGGGAAAATGCCAACAACGTTAGCAAAAAATCAGTTTAATCAAATGCACTTAAATATTAATGTTCTGATTTTACTGAAAAACTTGTTCTGTAATAGTTTCTTTACTATTGTGATCAAAAATATTAATCTCAATTCTGAGGCTGCTCTGTAAATAGTTTTCAAATAAACAATACACATATCAACTTCTGATCATTCCATATCAATTTCAGATTTAAAATAAATATTGATGTAAACCACACCCACTAATTTCCAAATAAGGTGCATTCATCTGTGTATGTCCTTTGATCGGCATTAGTGATATTTTCAGCACCAGAACAATGAAGCAAAGAAACAGATTCCTGAGTTTATGTTAGTAATTTTATTTATTAGGTGCATCTGACCTGTTCTATTTTTCTCTGCAATGAGATCAAATCAGTGCTTCTATGGGTTGTCTCCTCTCTGCACTAGAAAAATGTACTTTATTATAATGTTCACTGTAATGCATCTTGATGTTCTTAACAAATAAATTAAATCAAAGATACTGGTCAATAATGCCAAATATGTACATTTGTGTATCAGTCATTTTTATACTGGCTTAAAAATACTTAATTAATTCTACTAAGCAGGGGTGTAGAATGTGTTTAACAGGGCCAGCCCAGTGGTGATCTTGGACCAAAATACAGGGGGCAGAAAGTCAAATACAGGGGGGGCAGAAGGAGATGTTTTTCCAGACGCCAAGAAAAATTCCCCCTGCAAATTGTGTCACTGAGAGTTTAAAACAAAAATTATTCTTGTGCAAATAATGGTGTATTCACCTTAAATACTAATTATTAAAATGCAGCAGTTGCTGGATTGGTGCAGTTCAAAGTGGAATGTATCAAATAAAACAATATTAACATAAAGGTGAGATGCCAGTTTAACTAGTTAAAAATGTACAGAAGCTAAACTTTTGTCATCTCAAACTGTTGTACGGATATCATGTTTGTATATTTATCTCTAAACAAGTAAACAGGTCAGAAACCACGATGGAAAAATTTACCAGAAACTCCCCATCACACGGATGGGACCCTTCCACCTGCTTCAGCACACAAGGTCCAGGGGTGGAAAAACCTTCATGGCAATAAATAATAATAATAATAATAATAATAATAATAGGAACTAAAGTAGCACTAATCTCACAACTTTACAAAGAAGACAATAAAAATAAAGCAAGAAAAAAGATACAAAATTCTGTGTTCAAGGGAAACCCCGTAGTAAACCTGAAGGCGATAAAATAGCTGCTATGTGGGTGATGCAAGTTATTTTCCTGAGTAGTAACCATTTCAAACGGTCAAAGATAAAAACCCACGACATAAAAAGGAAACTAGCACTTTTGATACCACAAAGAGGAAGGTTGTAATGTTTCACGACTGTTTAGTCTTGGCTACAGCATCCAATGCTCAAACTGACCTGCAACAGTGATCATGTGGAAGCCAAGAGCGACCGTACCTCTGAAGCTGATTCACTGCCCATCCATCTTCCCCTGGTGAGTCCACATCCTCGGACCGCCGACAGCTCTGCGTTGATGAAGGAGTATTTCGCCTGATGAGCCTTCCAGTGCGTCAGGATCCCTGTGAATTATTGTGCAGAAGTTTAATGACTCAGTATCTTAGAAAACAGTGAACAGAAAAAAGTCCCTTTCAACAACACCCTATGGGAGACGAGAGGAAAAACAGAGAGGGAGGAGACAGGGTGAAACAGGGAACACCAGAGGTTACTCTGGGTCATTTGTTCCACTCCAAACTCAGAACCACCGTGGTGCTAAACCCAAAATAATACCACCCAAATACAAAAATATTTCATTATCTGGCTTCAAATTATTGAAAAATAATTTATTATATTAATGAATGCGGTTCACTGATAGTAATCCTTACCTGTATGTTGTCTGAACTACTGTAAAAATTATATAAAATAAAGAGGAAAGAGGTTATTTGTGAAAAAGACTTGAGAAATTTCCTTAGATTAAAAGTGCAATATATTAGAAATCCTACTACAAATGTTCTATTATCTTCTAGAAAATAACAAAACCATACTGCAAACATATCCACCATCTAAGTAAAAGACTAGCGGGTGATATTGAAACTCGGAACATATTGAATGACTAGAGATCAATATGTCAAATATGTTCAAATGAGTCTCAGGTGTGATTTCTAAGTTAACCATTTAAAAGCAGCTCTAATCTATAGACAGCAGGTGTAATAATTAGCTTTACTGACTGAATTCACTCTCTCTGGCTGTAAAACATGTTTAACCCCTCGTGTTGTCCCCACCCTGATCTGGCTGGTAAGGTCCAATGTTCCCTGCATCTTATCGGTCATTCACCTTTGTCCGTGCGTCTGTTTTCATAAACCACTGGAAATGAAAGTAGCAACAAAATCAATAACATCTCCTAGGATCACCTGAAATGTACAAAACCTGATTTTGCCGTCTCATACTCCATCAGCAGATTAGAACCCAAATCAGACGTTTCCGTTTGACTAAAAGAATGGGAACGCTTCTCATCTGATATGTCTGCTGCTGATAAACAAGTTCACAACTCACTTAATGATGTAAGCAAATTAATCTGTTACAAAATTCCTTCATTCTGTTGGTTTTGAAGAACTGCAAATGCTGACAAATTCATTACGTTTTGGGTTTGGAGTTTTATGCAAAACATAGAACTGGAAATTTCACAGTCAACAACAACGGTGGGTGGTAGTCTGTGCAAGTCCCAGCGACAGAAATAAAACTGCATTTAGACCCAGAGAGGGGAAAACATCAGCAAACAACTTGTTTGAAACAAGTATTGTCAGCAAGGCTGGGTGGGAAATCCTCAGTTTTCAGAGTAAAAGCGGATGCAGCTCTCACTTGAGAAGCAAAACAGAATTTCCACGTTCAGCAACAAACTTGGTTTGAAATGAAGATGTCAGTGATTTTAGGAACTAAGGTTTCCACTTGGTCATGTTCCCACGCACGCCCACCGATGGAAGAAGAAGTGGTTTCTTTACAGCTAGCAGGTCCACCCTGTTTCACACACACACACACACACACAGACACACACACACACACACACACACACACACACACACACACACACACACACACACACACACACACACACACACACACACACACACACACCTATCCTCAGGGCTGCACTTGATGAGATGGTGAAGAATTCTTTCTGGTCACCAAACAATAACAATAAAGATATGTCATTTTGCACCAAATAGCCACAAAAAATAAATAAATAAAAGGTCACATCAGCAAAATGAGCAAAAGATTTTTGCACCGAAATGTTTAAGAGCTTAAAGTAACACTAGGGAGTGTTAAACATAAGCTACTGCTTTCACTGGTTTCAGTGATTCTTGAGCCAGAAACTTGAGCAACTTCAAGTTGGACAGCACTATGTGTCCCTCTGCTTACCAGAAACTGTTTTGTGGTTGGGGTAGGAACACTAGTGGAAGGTATCTACTAGGGCTGAATGATTAATTGCATATGCAATTAAATTGCGATGTGACAAAAGGAGATTTTCTAATCGCAAAGGCTGTGATTTGACTGGCAGCGTGTGGTTAGCACAATGCTAATATACATGAAGGAAAAACCCCATAGGGATGCCAATATTAATATCGCCGATTACATTCTTACAAATTAGGAACATGCCAAATTATTACATTTGGAGTCTAATAAAAAGTTAAAACTGCCACCAATCAAATAAGTACAGACATCTTATCTTCATATTTTTCTACATATGTGAATTTGATGATGTGGTATTTATAAAATCTGCTTTTGTTTGTTGTACAGCTTGCTGACACAAAAGCTTGATGCATGACTCACACACCTCCATGCTTAAAGAGCAAGTCACCCCCTACCAGAGTATTACTCCACTCCCACTTCATGTTTGAAAAATGCAACAAATACTGTTGCCTTGCCAAGAGGGCGGAGCTGCTAACAATTACACGCACACACGGGCTCACCACATTGTGACATAATGTACCAGCTAACGTTCTAGGGTCCCTCTTAGTAGGGATGCAACGATACCACTTTTTTCCAAACCGATACGATACAGATACTTGGATCTGAGTACACGCCGATACCGATTACCAATACCGATACTTCTACCACACAAAAAAATGCAATGATTTGGAATACAGATTTTATTTTCTTCTCTGCTTTCAACAGGAAAAGACTGTGAGGTAGATAAAATATATGAATGGAAATCATCACAAGACTAAAATATTAGGTGAACAGAAATGACAAGTTACAGTGAAGCCATTTTCAAGCAACTGCATTGTATCGGTTAACTTTTACCGATACTGATACTGGTATTGGTATCGGCACCAATACCAGTATCGTATCGGTGCATCCCTACCTCTTAGCCAATAGCAATGACAGATTTTTATTCAAATGCAGTGCAGAGTTTTTACCTGACAACAGCACAACACTGACAGTTTTAGGCAGAAAATGAAAATGAACAAAAATGCACTTAAGTGCTAAACTATTGACGACACGTGTCTGCAGCACGATTAGACATGCATTTATATAGTTTCTCAGGAAAAAAAGTGGATTTGGGGGTGACTTGCTCTTTAAGAGAAATCCCACTGCCTTTTTCTTCCAAACAAAATTGTTTGCTGCAACCAGTAAATTCAAATTTCTCCTATTCATATCCTAACTTCATAAATAATTTGAAAGCTTTAAATTATGAATTAAAACTTGAAGAAATAAAGTTAATATGGCTCAAAACTTAAAGGGAGTGACACATGAATGTCAGCACTGCATTAATTATACAAATGTTTTTAAAATAATACTTTAAATGGGATCTGTCAACACAATGACATGTATCTATTTCTGACCCTTCTTTATTTAGACTTTTTTCTTTTTACTGTTTAATGTGTAGTTTTCCACTGCTGCTTTACATCTACAATGTAAAATACTTTGTGTTGAACACGTAAAGGTGTTGATCTGAATGCAGTCAGACAAATTTAATGGATTTCGTTTCACTACAGACCTACTTTACACAAAGTATTGGTGATGTTTCATCCAAGACTCTCCATGCTTATGCAGACTGATTCAAACACTGAAGATGTTTATACGTTAGAATGTAAAAGGGAGAACTAAGTCACTACATCAGTTACCTAAAGGTCACAGAAAAAAAACGTTTTCTTTATTATTTCAATGCATTATTTTACTTTATGAGGTTAAATTTGTATTTACATCAAGCCTGGGTAAACATCAATGCATTCCCACGTTTGCTGTAACAGCTTCCTTAAACGTAGACTTCAGAGAGTAGATTATTAGATTATCATGAAGATTAAAGACGTATTTAAGAATTATAAACTTGTTGATGACTGCAACTGCGATAAAATATGAAAAAGCTCTCTTTGCTTTTTTTAACCCACTTCTTAACTTCGCAAAACAGATACATGCACATTATTGCTGCTGAAACGGTTGTTGGTGACTACAAACATTAGCCTTTTTAAGTTATGATACTTTGGTAACTTTGGAGTTTAAAAATAAGCAAGGACAGTATTTACATTTATGTTAAAACGGTTCTTTAAAGAGAAATCTAAAGAACAAAAGGCACTTACATATTTTTTTTTCTATCAAGTAATCGCCTGTGGCGAATTTCGTGTCGTTTCTGACTAGGTACTTACTGCTAGCATTAGCTGAGATAGTTATCCATTCTTGAGAAATTTAACTTACTACGTTTAAACAAACAAGCTAACTAGAGTTTAGGATCGATTCCTCAGCTACAGTTATCAATATTTAAATGCGTCAAGCGTTCGGTCATTAACTAGCAAACATCACTTGAAAAACAACTAACAGGATGTTCAAGTCAGATTAGCTTCATGGTCAATCCGCACAAGGCCAACAACAGCCCACACACGATATAAAACAAGTTTAACTTAGCCACTCGAGCTAATTTTACCGTCTGTGTTTCATGAACGTATTCGGAAATTTAAAAAAGCACTAATTATTTACTTGCCATACACTCCGCACCTGCGTGCCTTCTTGACTTTTACAGGGTTTTGTTACTCAGTGTGATTCCTGACAGCGGTTGTCGTTAGCTAGCGTAGTTTAGTCACGTGACCCTGCCTCAGGGTGTCTGCTGCCCTGCGCTTTGTCTGACAGGCGTTCACAAACCTAAGTTTGGCTTGTGGTGCGTAAGGATATTACACGATTAATTACAAACGACTGAAAATTTCTAAATTTTGCTACCGTCATTATTTTGGAAATATAATACTTCATATAGACATTCTGGGCTGCCAGTGCCAACTTCTGCAAGAATGTTGGATTGAGATTTATTTTTATTTCCTAACCCAGTCTACTGCATTACTTTTTTTTTAATTTTTTTGAAAAAAATATTTCATCCAATTTTGGGGAAGCTTTGGGGTCGCTACAAATACATCAACAAAGAAGTTTGACCCCCATTCCCCCGAAATACTAATTTTGATTTGTTGCTTCAAGGCAACATTGTACAGCAAAGGTAGTAAAACACCAAGTTGTTCTATGATGCATTTTATTAACACAACCAGCATTAAAAGATAAACAATAAATGAAAAATGTTAACATTTAATTGAACAGCAAAACATCAGAATACAACAAACATTTGATCAAGGATCTCTTGGGGTTTTGTTTTGTTCATTAAAATAATATGTTAAGCAAAATAAAATAATATGATAAAATAATATAAATTGATGAAACCTCTCAACCTCAGTCGGTTCCCATGTGGTCACTCAAAAGGGTTACAGAGCGGATGCCATACCACTTGACAGCATACAAGGTTTCTCTCGCCACGGCCATCTTCTCTTTGAATGCCCCACGTCCTGCTTTCTTCAGATCAGCATTGCTCTTCAGGTTCGCTCCAGGTAATATGTTGCCACGTACAGTGGCAGTGCAATGAATTCCCTGCTCAGTCAATGTGACTTTAAGAGGGACACTAGTGAACCACTTGTCAAAGAAGAGTTTGTAGTTCTCTTCCTTGGGTTTTTCCACTAGCTCCAACATCTGGTAGCTCAGGAGGTTGGTCAACTCTCCCAGTGTTAACCTCAACGTTGTGTGGTGTTCCATCAGATCCTGCCAAGATGAGAACTTTATACCCCCACTTATTTGGTTTTGATGGCAGGTACTGTTTTAACTTGTGTCTCCCCTTGAATGGAACCATCTGCTCATCTATGGTGAGCTTCTCACTCATTGGGATGGAGACCAGTTTGGAAGTCAGATAAATGATGTATTTTGTAGAAAGGATCCTCGTGCTCCTGTCCCTCGTTGTTGTTGACAAGGACAAACTTCTTGATGGCTTCCCATCTGTTCAGGGTCATTGCATCTGCTACTCTGGACAATCCAAAGAGGGAAATATAGACCACAATGCCAAAGAATTGCTCTAATTCATTTGTGGTAAGGTTTAGGGGCTTGTTGGGGTCACACTGAATTGCATACAAATTGGATTCCTCTACAATAACTTCAAGGATATCTTTAGAGAATAACTTTTTGAAGTATTGTGGGGGGGGGGGGGGGGGGGGGACAGGATGTCATCAGCTTTTGGCAGCTGGCCCTGCCAGTCTGAATGATAAAGTTGTGTACTTTTCTCCATCTTGGAAGGAGAGACACTTAAGCCACTTTCATCTGAATCTACCTTTTCCTCACAGTCACTGTCTTGTGGCTGTTTGAAAAGAAAAAGAAAATTTTAGAAAGAAAAATTGCAACAGGAAGATTTGCACACATGTGCACACTCACACACTCACACACACACACACACACACACACACACACACACACACACACACACACACACACACACACACACACACTTTATCACCTGACCCCCGAGTTTCCGAGTGTCCCTCAAACCTGATTCAGTGATCCAGTCCTCCACCTCCTCACTGTCTCTTCCTGATAGATAGCTGTTTTCACTGTCTGAGGGAATATCCATTCCCTAGGATTCCTTCAGTAAAATGATTTTACATCCATGTCCTGTAATTATCAGTAGACAATAAAGTAAAAAAAATTTTTTTTTACAAAGATCATATAAATGCACATAAACACAAGTCTGCACTCATCACCAGTGCTCATGCATTATATTGCATGAAAAAATTAGCTATCTGCATAGTGTTGCCTTGAGCAAACAAATGAAAATGAACATTTTAGTGTATAAATAAAACTAAAAATGTATAAAAACTATTCTAATATACTTATTTACATATTCATGCACCAGAAAGTATTTTTATATGTATATATTTCAACATATTTACATAATAGAATGATTTTTTTCTTACCTTCTAACAAAGGTGTTGCCCGTGTGGTGCAGCTTGCAGAAAGGGGATACTCGTACCCTAAATGAAAGACACACAACTTTAAACTCATCGTTTTATTGGCAAGAGATATCCCTGGTAGCATTATTTCAAAAATAAATACATCACACACACACACACACACACACACACACACACACACACACACACACACACACACACACACACACACACACACACACACACACACACACACACACACACACACACACACACACACACACACACACACACAAGGGCCAGTGTGAGGTATAAAAATGGAGTTTGTTGCCTCAAGGCAACGCTGTGCTGTGAGGGCTAAAGAGGCGGGAACGGCGACAGGGGCATTCCCAAGAGCATTTGCAAAAAATGCAGTCTTGCAGGTTACAGTTTTCTCAATTGTTTACACACATTTCGTGAGAGCATGCCTCATATTCTCAGAACTCTACACACAAATCCAAAAAAACACACACAATGGGCAAAACCCCTCAATTAACCTGCAAAATGAATCTTCACATTCAAAACAATGTTATTTCTCCTCACAATGTGATTTTGTTGTCATATGACACACACAAACCATCATATGAATAGACATTTATAAGAACCAGCAGAACACTTATGTGCTCAATGTTAAACACTATGATGAATGGAAAGCACTTCTTCTCCATTCATCATAATGACTAACGCCTTTCTGGTTCAGTGTTACACCTACTACAGACAGTAAATACATGCATGTGTTGAAAAACATTTCATAATATTGTTTTTACACTCTGAACACACAGATACATGGTTAAAATTATTTTATTTTTCCCGCAAAACATTGCACACAATGTATATCCCATTCCCAACCACACAAAGTTGCACACATACACTACATACAACAGAAATTTACTGTACACAGATACAGTAAAACAATAAAACTATGCTGCATCCTCTCTTCTGTTGCGGTCTGGCCACAGCGCCTCATCCACATCACAAGCAATGTTGTCCCTGGCCAAGCAGCGGGGGAAATATCTCCTAGCATGGCGATTCCAGCCATGAAAAGAATCAGCTGCTATATCTCCACATGCGTCCTCCATAGCTTGGAGAAGAGGTATACGCGTTTGTGGCTGTCATTCATACACCTTCCATCTCCAGGCAGAAAAAAATTCCTCAATGGGATTGAGGAATGGAGAATATGGAGGGAGATAAACAACTAAAAAGCGTGGGTGGCCAGTGAACCAGTTACGAACCACAGCAGCCCTGTGGAAACTTACATTGTCCCAAATGACAACGTACCTGGGCTGTTCTGGACCATCTACCTGGTCTGGTGGAACGAGTGTGTTGTGTAGGGTGTCCAGGAATGTGATCAGATGGGCGGAGTTGTAGAGATCAAGGGTAGCATGGTGATGGATGATGCCATGGTAGCTAAGCGCTGCACACATTGTGATGTTCCTTTTCAAGAAACTCCTGAAGACCCTGCTCTTCAGAGAGCATCTTCTTAACCAGCACCTTGCCTGCACCCGTCCCCCTCTCTACTGTCCACTCCTTGTTCCCTACTCTCCATGACTGATGTCAAGTTGTTGTTGTTGTTGTTAGCCTCAAGGGCAATATGCCGATTATCACTTGTAAGTCGCTTTGGACAAAAGTGTCTGATAAATACGTAAACATAAACATAAACCCTCGTCTGGCTCTGCCTCTGTTTCCAAAGTTGGCATCCATTGCTCCAAAACAGAAAGGCTCACCTGTTGCCCTTTTATGCTAAAGCTCTGGTTGTAAAACTGTGTGACAGGTGTTTGCCCTTGTGATGAGTCAGTGTGCACATTTGTATAGCAGTGTGTTCCTTGTGAAAACAAAATATTTTCTGAATGAACATTGTGCCATCAGCAGAGAATTGTGTGCAGTGTTTTGAAAAAAGTGTGTTTTAGATTTGCAATTTGAGTTCAAAGCAGGAATTGTGCTTGTAGTTTAGCAGAATTGGTTAAGGGGGGTGGTGAATTGGTTACATAATGTGGTCATTGTGTCTCAAGTACCAGAAAATGTGTGTAAACAATTGAGAAAAACTGTAATTAGGATGATGCAGAGGCTCTGGTGTGCTTTGATGAGTAGGATAAACTCCATAAGCAAGAACCCTCAGACATTATTAGGGACATTTTTGTCCATTTGGGCAGTTTTTTGCTTTTCTTTTGGACGCCATTTCCCAAAAGCCTGGCAAGCCAGAATAAATAAATGCATTAGTTATCTTTATCAGGCAAGATTTTTCCAAATAAACAACTTTTACTTCCTGGGGCTTTTGTCATAAATCAGTCTCAGTTATGTTATGAAATATTTAAAAGATTAAAAACAATTTGCATCAATAGTTTTGTGTAGCAATAGATTCGAGATTCAACCTCTTGTGACCTTAGCGAACAAAAACGTCCCATTGACTTCCATTCAAACCGCAGTTTTTAACCCTGTAAGTAACATCTGCAACGAAAAATCATGCTTTCTGTGATATTAGGGATTCATTTTGGAGAGAAGTATTCAAACTTGTAATTTTACTGTTCACCAACAAATCCAGTCATTTCTTCATTTGTGGCTTAGGCGAGAATCTCATTTCTTTAGATTGCTTGTATTGAAGTCAAAAGGTCAGTCTGACCTCTGATAACTAAGTAAAACACAGTTTCACTCTCTTATTGAACTTCAAAGTGTAGAAAACAAAAACAATTAGTATGTTAATGCACTTGGCTGGAGCCCAGGCACATTATGGGGCCTCTACTATTCGCATTCTATATTCTTCCCCTAGCTGGCATCATTCAGTCTTTCCCAGACATCTCCTACCACATCTACGCTGATGATATTCAGCTCCATATGTCCTTCATGCCACACCAGTTGGACAGACTGGCCACACTTGTACTCTGCCTGACCCAGATCAGTAACTGGCTGTCCAGTAACTTTCTTGTCCTCAATGCTAACAAGACAGAGACCCTGATCGCTGCACCCCCGGAACTTCAGCCAAAAATCGAGCAAGAAATTGCCTCTTTTTGCCCATCAGCCAAGGCCAACATTAGAAACCTAGGAGTTATTTTTGATCCAGTTTTAAGTTTAGACTCACACGTCAAAACCATCTCCCGCTCTTGTTTCTTTCGACTGAGAAACATTTCAAAAGTCCGTAAACTGGTTTCTACTGCAGATCTGGAAAAAAACCATCCATGCCTTTGTGTCATCATGCTTAGACTACTGTAACGCTCTTTTTACTGGTCTCAGCAAAACCTCCCTCTCACGCCTTCAAGCCATCCAAAATGCAGCAGCCAGACTCCTAACCAAATCCAGCAGACAAGCTCACATCACCCCAGTTTTACAGTCCCTCCACTGGCTCCCGGTAGAATATAGAATACAGTTTAAAGTTTTAGTCCTGACCTATAGAGCTCTTAACAACCAGGCTCCAAGCTACCTATCTGAGCTTTTATCCCCACACACCACCTCACGGAACCTTAGATCCACATCTCAAAACCTCCTGGCTGTTCCTCGAACCAGACTAAAAACCAAAGGGGACAGGGCCTTTCAGACTATTGCCCCCAGACTTTGGAACAATCTACCTTCAAATCTCCGTCTCTCTAACACTGTCGAGGTCTTTAAAAATCATCTAAAAACTCACCTTTTCATCCAGGCGTTCCCTCCCTAAATGTTCTAAATGATGGCTTTGTTCGGGTTCACACCTTCACTTTGTTTATTCTCATGATTTAATTTTCTACTTTATCACTGCTATTGTTTTTCTATGTTTTTATTGGTTGGAGGTATTTGCCCTGATCTTTATCATGTTGTACAGCGCTTTGTGATTTATATCTGTGAAAGGCGCTCTATAAATAAACTTTTACTTACTTACTTACTTACTTATAACCTACAGTATACAGGTGCTGGCCAGTAAATTAGAATATCATCAAAAGGTTGAAAATATTTCAGTAATTCCATTCAAAACGTGAAACTTGTACATTATATTCATGCAATGCACACAGACCAATGTATTTCCGATGTTTATTACGTTTAATTTTGATATTTATAGGTGACAACCAATGAAAACATCAAATCTGGTATCTCAGAAAATTAGAATATTCTAAAGGCCAATGAAAAAATGTTTGTTTCTCTAATGTTGGCCAACTGAAAAGAATGAACATGAAAAGAATGTGCATGTATAGCACTCAATACTTAGTCGGGGCTCCTTTTGCCTCAATAACTGCAGTAATGCGGCGTGGCATGGACTCGATCAGTCTGTGGCACTGCTCAGGTGTTATGAGAGCCCAGGTTGCTCTGATAGTCGTCTTCAGCTCCTCTGCATTGTTGGGTCTAGCGTATTGCATCCTCCGCTTCACAATACCCCATAGATTTTCTATGGGGTTAAGGTCAGGCGAGTTTGCTGGCCAATCAAGGACAGGGATACCATGGTCCTTGAACCAGGTGCTGGTGGTTTTGGCACTGTGTGCAGGTGCCAAGTCCTGTTGAAAGGTGAAGTCTGCATCCCCATAAAGTTGGTCAGCAGCAGGAAGCATGAAGTGCTCTAAAACTTCCTGGTAGACGGCTGCATTGACCCTGGACCTCAGGAAACAGAGTGGGCCAACACCGGCAGATGACATGGCACCCCACACCATCACTGACGGTGGAAACTTTACACTGGACCTCATGCAACGTGGATTCTGTGCTTCTCCGCTCTTCCTCCAGACTCTGGGTCCTTGATTTCCAAAGGAAATGCAGAACTTGCTTTCATCAGAAAACATAACTTTGGACCACTCAGCATCAGTCCAGTCCTTTTTGTCCTTGGCCCAGGCGAGACGCTTCTTGCGCTGTTTCTTGTTCAAGAGTGGCTTGACACACGGAATGCGACACCTGAATCCCATGTCTTTCATGAGTCTCCTCGTGGTGGTTCTTGAAGCGCTGACTCCAGCTGCAGTCCACTCTTTGTGGATCTCCCCCACATTTTTGAATGGGTTTGTCGTCACAATTCTCTGCAGGGTGCGGTTATCCCTAGAGCTTGTACACTTTTTTCTACCACATTTTTTCCGTCCCTTCGCCTGTCTGTTAATGTGCTTGGACACAGAGCTCTGCGAACAGCCAGCTTCTTTAGCAATCACCTTTTGTGTCTTGCCCTCCTTGTGCAAGGTGTCAATGATTGTCTTTTGGACAGCTGTTAAGTCAGAAGTCTTCCCCATGATTGTGGTGCCTTCAAAACAAGACTGAGGGACCTTTTAAAGGCCTTTGCAGGTGTTTTGAGTAAATCAGCTGATTAGAGTGGCAGCAGGTGTCTTCTATATTCAGCCTTTTCAGAATATTCTAATTTTTTGAGATACCAAATTTGGAGTTTTCATTAGTTGTCACTTATGAATATCAAATTTAAATGTAATGAACATTGGAAATACATTGGTCTGTGTGCACTGCATGAATATAATGTACAAGTTTCACGTTTTGAATGGAATTACTGAAATATTTTCAACCTTTTGATGATATTCTAATTTACTGGCCAGCACCTGTAGTGTGGGCTCCTACACCAAGCTTCTGCTGTGTTTCGATTTGATTTTTTATGTATGCAAGGTGTTGCATCAATGAGCTGTGACAAACTAAACAAATTAAAGTGAAGGAAGTTACAATAATTTTTCTGGATAAATTAACATTTGAAAGAAAAACACGACTGTTGACATGTTGAAGACATTTTGAGTGTAAATGCGCTTAACGCCACCAGAGGGCACACGCTTTGAGGGCAAAATGGAAGTTTAAGCGAAGAAGGGGTTGGAGGTTGAAGGACAGAAATCACACGAAGAAGAAAGCGATACACAACAAACTGTTATAGTGTGGAGTGTTTCTGTGCCTTGGATCTTATTTTCGGAACTATCGCATTGCTTCTTCTAAAAGGTCATCATGCCCGTAATTTGTGCGGCACCAGCGTGTAACAATAAGTTTGTAAAGGGATCGGAAATCAGGTTTTACAGGTAAGTTTTCACCGGTTTACCTCTGACTTGAGCAAACGTGTGGTGTTTACCAACGTTTATTATCAGGAGCTGACACGTCTGTGTTTTAGATGCTTTTGGGGATTCAAGTGACGGTAAAGCAATACATTTTACTTTGAAAACGAGATCTCGTGGGTCTCCTAGAAATATTTTAGTGTCATTATTTTCTCTGACGTGTGCTCTTCAACACAATGGGTGGCGTTTTAAAAAGAAAACAACTAGTATTATATTGTGAGCCTTTATAAATCATTTTAAGATTTTGTAGTTCTGGATGGTTCTGATCAGTTTGGTGCCTCTGTTATTATTTTAGTAAACACGTTTTGGACTGACTTCTCACGGCCAGCTTTGGTACGTTACTGACCCCTGAGCATCTCTGGTTTGGATCACAGATCTGTATTCTATCCACTAAACTAGAGATGCACAGGTTCTGGTTTTCACGACCAATACCAATTTCTGCCTTTTTTATAACTCTGACCTGCTAAAACCGATTCTACACAGTCCAAATTTTTAAAATTGTTTGATCAGTTTGAAGAAATGTTCATATGTAAGGTTTGTTACTGTTAGTGTGACGTAGGTGACAGCAATGGTGAGTTCAACGACCACAAATAACACCAGCTTTTGTTTATTTATCTTTATTGGAGAAGATTGGTGATGGTGCATTCACAAACACAAAAGAAAAATCCGATTTTTGAAGCTTTTTCCTGACCTCTGAATAAAAACACATGTTAACATGAATAGATGCAAAAAGGAACATGTGGCTAAGTTTCCAGTTAAATTAAATTCATGATGTTTACCCATCTGTGAGGTCATCACAATCACTGTAAACAGTTGAGTAAAATACAGAATTTCTATCTAGGTATAGGTATTTTAGCCATATGAACTTATGATATAACTTTAGTATCAGCTAAAGGATTACGGTCTGTAAATGTTTATGTTAAGGTAGCATTTTTTATTTGGCCAAGAGAGATATCATGACACTTTATTGATAAAGGAATTTAAAATGACTACAGCATGCTTTTCTAAAGTGCTGTACATTAAACAAAAACCTACAAAATAAAAGCATACACAGACACACAAAACTAATTAAAAGACATGCACAAGATGTAAAAGAGGTTTAAACTCTATGTGTAAAACAGACAAGGTTTAAACACAGAGAATGAGACCTGCTACTGCCAATGCTGTTCCCTCCCTGGCTTTACAGCGCACCTTTAAATCTGGCCTGCCGCCTTAAGGGAATGTGACTGTGTCAGGTTGCAAAAGGTCAGAGACATGGTGGAGCTGAGCAGCGAATACATTTAAAATCAAACACAACAAGTTTTAGATAAATCCTAAAATGAACTATCAACCAGTGAATGGCGACCAGGATTGGTGTGTTAAAGATGGCGCTGCAGCGTTTTGTCCCAGCTGAGAGCCTGGGCAGCACCAAAGAGTAATCCATTACATTCATCCAGTAATCCAGCCTGGGTGTGATGAAAGTGCGGATCTCCAGGTTGCCTCTTGATAAAATTGGTTTGATTTTTGCAGAAAGCCTCAGTTGGTAAAAACTTGATTCCACCTCCGTGTTTGCGTGACATCTAGTTTAGGAGCGGGTCCATCCGGACTCCGAAATCTGAGATTATGCTTTTCCATAATCCTGCCAGGGATGAAAAGTTGATGCCAACTGTCTTGTTAGAGCTTTTAGGCCTAAAAAGCAGAACATCAGTCTTTTCTTCATTAAAACTAAGAAACTGAATCCAGCTGCTGGTGTCGACGATACAGATGGATGATGGTCCTGTGGAAGAGGTGGCTCCTTAAACCGCTCCAATTTCACCAATCTGGAGCCATCTGCTGTTCCAAAACTCTCCAAAAGCTATTTTTGTCCTTCTTAGCCTTGGTCCTTCTTCCTGCCACGAGGAACATCTGTGTGAGCATCACAGATGGGGGAGGGGGGGTTGAGAGTCGTTGAGGAGATGGGACGTTCTCGACATGGAAATGAAGATATGGATAAAGCCATGAAAAACCTGCACGTCTGCACTCAGTCCTTTCAACATTTCTGTTTTATTCCACAGTGGATTTATACATTAAAGATGCAACACATTGGACCGCTTCAGGCAGCTGCATTTGTCCTCTAGAACATTCCCAGTGAGCAGACAATACCCCGACATTTACACGTTTGGAAAGCTGCTTCCCTTGTTGTTCATCCCTCATTAGAACAGTGACGATTATTCTAAAAGGTGCAGCCCCGTTTGAAACATGTCCCCCTCCTCTATCCCTCTTTGTCAGGTTCCCTCTAAGCAAACCTCAACTTGCTACCAAATGGGTGCAGAGCCTGGGGATGAAAAACTTCAGCCCCACTGCCAACACTTGCCTCTGCTCTGAGCATTTCAGGACAGACTGCTTCAGGGACTACAATGGCAAGCAGTTCCTGAGAGAGGACGCAGTGCCCACGATATTTGCCCCGGGGCAAGACTCTTCAAAGGTGAGAAGTCCAGACACCTTCTAGCTTTTCTTTCTGAACAATTTGTTTTCAGTCTCATCAAAAGGATCATGTTTTTTTCTCCCCCTTTTTATAGATTGAACTGCGTAAAAGAGGAGTGGTGCCAAAGGAGACCAGTGTGGCAAATCAGATGGGGACACAAGCAGACAAAGACAAAGCGAGGGAGGCTTTGATGCGCAGAGAGAAAAGAGGAGGATTCAGGGTGAGTTCTCTGTCCCCACTGACAGAGCGCTGTGGTTTTCTTACTGCACCACTCAAGTACTTTTATTGTGAAAATCTAGGATTTTAAATAGCACAGACACAAGGTCATTGTTAAACGGTACCTTAGCTATCAAGACTGCTAAATTGTTTAAATAAAATCGCAGAAGAAGCTTAAAAATGAATTAATTTCCAAGCAAAACTCGTTACTTTAGGTATAAATTGTAGTTGAAGTTTTTTTGTTTTTTACTGTGCTGAAGTATTTTTAAATAAACCTGCATTAAACCCCCCATCATGTATTTGAGTGTAACTAGTAGTGGTCAACTGATTTTGGTTTACCTGTTGCCAATGCCGACATGTAGAGGTCGTGGTCAGCTGATGGCCGATATGTATTGTCCATTATTGATACCTAGACACTTTTGTGCTGATTTGTGTGCTACAATGCTGCATGAATAACAGCAGATGCACAAAATTTCAGAAAAACTGATCAGTTTTTAACTTTGAATTTAACCAACTCTTGAATCCTGGTTTTGTGCTCTGCACAGGACTCAAATCAAACATTTATCCAACGTTGGTTAAAAAAATCAGTAAACTGACCAGAAATTAAATATAAACTAGCTAAATTAGAAGGAATGTCAGTTGACAATAATGTTTTAGAGCATTTATGAAGCAGATATTATTTTTATCAGGAACGTAAATGCACATGTAAATAAAAGCTGGCATTAGCACCGGGCTGCCCGCGGATGTACCTGACTTTAAATCGTTCCTGCTAAAGAACTAGATCAGCTGATACAGATGTGTTAAGATGGTAAATAAATATATTGGTATATCCGTAGTAAATAATCCCGATGTTGCAGGGAGGACGGGGATCTCGTGGAAAACAGCCGAATGACAGGTGAGGAATTTTGTTTTTGATGTGTCCTTACTGAGTATAGGGGGTCATTTTAAAGTTATTTCACTGAAAAAACATTTTTTAATCATTATTTCTGATTATAATTGGTCACTCTGAGTTTTTCATGCAGGCTGAACAGGAAAATAGTCTCCTACATCTATCTCCTGCATTAGCTTCTGATAGAAAATAGACAGTGAAACTACAGGATTAGAAAAGCCTGACAGATCTACGTCACACTCTCACTTAACATTCATGGACTCACCCACCTTGGCTCGTGACGGGGAAGGCTGTTGATGATTTAGCGTCCAGGAAACGGCACCGAATGTCTCGGCTAGTAGAAGCTAACTGTTAGCATTAGCAACTTCACCAGACAGCAGAACTCCTTCGTGCTTTAGTGTTTTTTGGAGATTAAGCATCAACGTTGCAAAGCAAAGAGTCGGTGGTAGAGTCCAGTTGCTGTTATCCGATCAGAGACAAGATGAACTAATATCAGGAAATAAGACTCCAAATCCTGTCGTGTTCAGTTCAGCTCTGATGTGGCTCACTTCGAGTTCCTGAAACAGGCACACTGGAGCACACGGCAAATGTATTAAAATATGATTGAAGACCCTTTTTGAGGTTTTTGCTCGTGTCATGTAGCCCTACCCAGTCACATCCAGTTTGGTTCTGCTTATTTACAAATTAATTTTCTGTGATGATGTCCTCCAGTAATATTTACTTCATTTCTCTTATTTAACTAACTGTAGCATTAAACGGCTGCTGGCAGCATACTGCAGGGTTTAAAATATCGTGTATTCTATCTAATAACTGAGCTGACAGCTTAACGAAGGACTGGCATATTCCCAGTAGTGAATAAATAATTGGGGAGGGAAAAAAAATCAGTTAATGGTTTTCAGAGTGCCGTGTTGGCTGTGCTGCCTAATTTAATTACAAAAATCTGAATTTGATCATTGTTTCACGATAAAGCTAAAGGCAGACGAGTCCTCGGGTTTCAACTCTTCCGACTGGCTTCCTCTCGTCAGCTGACATTGCCCGAGTGTGTTCGACGCTGACAGTGTTAATAAAGATGCATGCAGATGGTTTTATTTTGGGCTGTGATGAAAATATGCTGTCATAATGTGCGATGGGAAACAAGTGGCAAAAGTAATTATGGAAAGCCACCCAGGGCAAACGGCTTCTAGAAAATGAAATTAGGGAGCGGGTCACATCATGTCAGCTTTAAAACGAAAACAAATCTCCATCGTTGCAGGCAGAGCGTCGCGGCCCGGAACAAAGTCTACAACAGCAAAGGCCAGCTGATCTCCAACGGAAAAGACTTGTGCGACTGTCTGGATGTGGACTGCTTGGGCTGCTTCTACCCCTGCCCGGAATGCGGATCGCGGAAGTGCGGGGTCGAATGTCGCTGTGACAGGAAGTGGCTTTACGAGCAGGTGGAGGTGGAGGGTGGAGAAATCATCCGGAACCAATATACAGTATAAATGACACCAGAGTGGGTTTCTGGGACGTGAAGGTTTCCTAGGGTTACTAAAGAGTATGGCTGTTTGTGATAAAGTATTCCTCCATTCACTGTTGTTTAAAGTTTTTTTTATTCATGTTAGCGTGTGTTAATAAACGTTTACGTCATTGCGGTTTTCCTGTCCACTTTTTGAGCGCTGTATTATAATTTCTTCATGTTTCAAACAGAAAAGTATCCATGTATCAGTTCCATCTTACAGCAGTGCTAGTTACAGCTGCTTCTTTCTGTTTTCAGGAATTATGTTAGAATGTTTTGGGAATCCATAAAAGTGATAGTTTTAGTCTGTACCATGATATAATTTAGAAAATACATAGATTTTTCGTTTTGCTAAGCCCACCCCCATGCAGTTTTACTGCTCAGCGTTAGCCAGTCGTGTTCGACATCCGCTAACGAAGCACGTGTGCCAGTTTGTGGTACCTACACTGAGGCAGAGTTGGTGACATGTCTTATAGACGAGTAAGTCTTTAAAAAATCAATAAACTGCCAAACATGTGATTAATAATTTGAGTGTGCTTTAGCTCTGTTGGCCGGCTAAAGCTGCATCTACATGAACGAGATGCGTTGCTTTCAGTCGCAGAAGTAAGGAGAGGGGCTCTAGGTGTTACACGTCTAGGGCCCTCAGAGGGGAAAAAAGGCCTGGTTCACATGGTGAGATGATTCTTTTTTTTCCATTAATTTTTTATTAAATACCCTGTATTTGTATGGCATCTTCTCAGGGTTCTACAACCCCCCAAGGCGCTTCACAACACATTCAGTCATTCACACGCTGGTGGTGATGAGCTACAATGTAGCCACAGCTGTCCTGGGGCACAATGACACCGGTTGTTCTGACCACCAGCATGCATAGGGGGTTAAGTGTCTTGCCCAAGGACACAACAGCAGCATTCTCTGGTCAGTGCTGGGATCAAACCTGCAACCTTTTAATTGCTGGACAACCCGCTCTACCTCCTGAGCTACTGCTGTCTCACATTAGGAAGTTAAAGAGCAGTACCACTCATTAAGAAGTGTCCTGTTTGTGTCACATAATCAACTCTAAACCCAGCCTGCCTAGCCCTCCCCCCACCCCACCCCCGTGTCCATCCGTCAGAGCATCCCACTCTACTCGGTATGAAGATCCTTAAAGTTACCCATGAAGTCCATCCAAGATGTCGTGGTGTTTGAAGTTGCATTATTGATCCTTGCTGATGATAATTTCATTTACACTCAAAGCCAGTACACACGCAACATGTTGTTAGGTGGTTTCCATCTTTGAGCAATGGTTTTCTTTATTGTAGTCAATCCTGCAAGCCAGATCCTACAGGTTTCCTCCGTATGTGATATCTGTGATTCATCATTTAATAAGTGAACAACCGGATCCAAGGGGAGAGGGACACCACTTAAATCAGTAATATAACAAAGTACTTTAACCTAGAGGTCCTGAAGTCCAGGACGTTCCTATACAACATGAATAACCGAGTCCAGAGTCCCAGGGGTACAAAACGAGCAAATAGGATCTGATGTGTCGCCCATTTTGTGTCTAATAATCAGCTCTGTGACAAATTTTCTAATGTATATTCTGATAAAAAAAAAATTTAGAGGCCCTCTCAACATAATACCAAATTTTCACTCAACCCAGGCTTTCATTCTGAGAAGGAAATGCAACTTTGGGACAGCAGGTTTTAATAAATTTATCTTTTGGGCACAGCTCATAACCAGCTGAACACTGGGTGTTCAGAGCAGGATAACTTAATGACCAGATCCTTGCCTTCCAACTCTGACAATCTCCGATAACCGTAATCCTTTAAAAACATTTGATCAGATTTCCCTGTCGTGTTTGTTGTGTTAAGAGCACTCTGGTTGGTTTGGAAGGACGCTGGGACTGCTCGGATCATAAAAACAAGCGTGATGCCTGTTGATTGTTAAGTCCAGCCAGTCAGGCAGCGAGGCTGAGGAAGCACACTGCACGCTCCCCTTCCGTCATGTTTGTTCACTCCAAAGTCACATTTGATCTCAAGAAGTTTTGGGAGATTTCTTGTCTAATCTGAGAGTCTGCTACGGCCTTGTGTGCAGATTCTCAAAAATCATCCAATGTTTTTACAACTGTGTGACTCATCTCAGTGACAGGAATCTGCGATGCACCATGTGAATTAAAACCACTTGTTCCATTAGGTTGTTTTTGTAAAAAAAAAAACAACAACCTGAAAATAAAAAGTATCGTGTTTCCCCCTTCCTGCTGCGGTATGACACCGCAGATCAGACGTAAGGAACTTTTCTCGTCATTGAGCTCAGGCGGAGGTGAGGTGCTGTGCAGCCTGCAGTAACCCTGTCTCAGCATTTCAAAAACACCTCCCATAACTAGAGCTGAACTTTGTGTTCCTGCCAAACCTTAAAATCGTTCGTTTTCAAAAGCCTGTGAACAAAATGCAAGAAGGTGTAGGGAAATGTGTGCAGTCAGCTTTCTACCGCATCACAAAACAAAATAATGTTCTAATCCTTTTTGCCTTTTACGGCCTACATCTAGTGCACTTTATAGTTTGCTCAGAGGGAGGCTACCAATAAATTAAGCTTATTAATATTTATAAAATGCTGAAGGCAAGCCGATGCAAACAGGTCGTTCATCACAGCTGCTGAAATTTTATTCCGCACTGAAAGGAAGTCCTTCCCTCATAGGACTGTTGGGAGGAATTTTAGGCACTTTATGCTTTCATGTCTCTGCTAGGTAATTTGAGGACACATTCTAAGAAGAGCAGTGAATTTTCTCATGTGTCTGCTGCTTTGCTGATCTGTTAGTTCTCAATAATGATTTTTGAGAATGGGATGGGATCCTTTCCCACGTTGGCGGTGTGGCGTTAGTGATGGCTGTCAGCTGGAATGGAATATCTCAACATCTATGGGATGGATTGTCACAACAACTGTTGCCGTTCGCTGTCAGTGAGCTGCTGTATACAGCAATATATTACTTAATTAGTAATATATTACTGATCTCATTTACATGAGTGAAATAGAGAGGATAACCTTTGACCATTACTCAGACTCACTTGGTACTTTTTAGGTCCTGGTTGGACCCAGTCTTCCTTTCAAATCTGCCTTAATTCTTCATTTCATAGAGTTAGCATGGTGTAGTTAGCATCTTTAAGAAGCCACATGGACACCGCAGCATCTCACAGTTCCACTCATGACGTGAATCTCCTGTTCCACCACATCCTGAAAGTTCAGCACTGGACTGAGATCTGGTGACTAACGGCCGTTGGAGTCCAGTGAATTTATGGTGGTCATGTTCTAGAAACCAGTTAGAGATTATCTGAGTTTTGTGACATGTTGCTTTATCCTGCTGGAAGTAGCAATCAGAAGATGAAAAACAACCTCCTTACTATTCAGCCTAGTGCCTTTTACTTACACCTATGCACTCCACTACTCAACCACAGTGACTAACATGAAGCTGCCAGATGAGAACATCACACTAAGGTCACTTCCAGTCCTAATGAAGCTGTTTTCTGTGGCAGACTTTCTGGAAGTGCATGCAGAGCTCAGTAGAATCCAGCAGCTGGTGTTAAAGGGCGAAAATCTCTTGTTCTTAGATTTCAGAAACTTTCAGACAGAATTTCTCATGTCCTTACAACATGCCTGAGGTATTTTCCTTCTCCTAGCAGCAATCACAATGACAGACCAGTCTCTAAAGTTGTTAAAAGGTTTATTTAAATACCGTCTGCAGTGAAGAAAGTGCAGAGAGCTCCAGGGAGCTGCTGGATGGAAACAAGCTAGGACAAACAGGACTTTGATGACCTGAGCGGATGGAAACTTGTCAGTAGATGTCCAGCCTCTGAACTGGATGTGGGAGAAGAGGCCGTTAAGGGCTGAAACAAAATCCATGAGCAGAGCAGGAGGGTCGAAGGTCCTGCTGGATGTTGACAGAGAAGATGAAGTAATGGGCTGTCACTTAATTTCACTTTCTGCTGCAGAAGATGACCGTAAACCTGACAGGCTGCCAGATTTTCTTTCTTTTGTCAGATAAGTTGTACAATAACAGAAATGTGTGCCTCCAGTTATAAATCTAGCTGCCTGCTACAAGCAAAATGTGAAATATTTTGTTTCATTTACACAGATACACCCTTCACAGTGGTCAACAATCCCTTAACAACCAGCTGGAGATTGCTAAGGCTGGTTGATCTCTGACGGTTTGGGTTTTCTCCTCTTTTTTCCTCAATTAGTTGCACGACACATAAAAATGACAAATGAGTTCCCTGTGAAATGTTTGAAGAAATGTGAATCTAAATGTCAAACATGATGATATTGCAACAAAAAAAAAAGGTAAAATATCACCAATTATATCTCAGTTCAGGTCAGTTCATCCACTAGATGCTGATTTCTTTCAGACAGGACCAATGTGGCGGCGCACTGACGGATCGACTCTCCCACCATAAAAAGTTGTAATCATCAGGTCCTCCTATAAAATCAAATCTCACTGCAATTAAATCACTGAAACCTGAATTCACACCTGTTTTCTGTGATTATATAACGTTATTCTGCATGAGAATGTGTAATAAACTACATAAATTAACTAATTACCCATTATTGTAGATGTTTTTAATATTATATTTTTCACATTACATATTATTATTTGATTATATTGTATAAATTGAAAGAGAAAAGCTCATTTTGACTCCATTTCTGTAGCTGAGGCAGCTATAATTGTTTGATTAATGTCCAGTGAGTTGTTTCCAGCACTTACAGGAAGTCTGGACAAATAGTCCAATCCTTGTCTTGTTTGTATTTTTCCAAGAGTGTATCGAAGGACTTTTGGCAAACTCCCAGCAGGCTGTCACATAACCTTTAATGAGGGAACGATTTTTTTTAGATTGTTGCCATTTAACCCTTTGATGTCCACACCAAAAAGAAATAAATGATTGAATTGATTTAGTGTTTTGCATCTTGTATTCATTAAAGACAACGAGGTTAATAATGTGAAATATAAGGTAATATAAATACTGTTAGATAACAATTTAAAACATTTTTACACAATCATGGCAGGTTTCAAGTTGTTTACTTGCTTTTCATGGTTAGAAATAAAAAAAGTGACAGTAGTTTGTAAATATTTACAGTGTCACACACAGTTATTTACATAAGGTTCCA